GGGGACATTACGGACTCGTGTCGTTCGCGCAGGATTTGTTCCTCCGGGCAGAGACGGATAGACAGAGTCGCAACCCTCCGCCCCTCTGCGTGTGTTCGACTGGCCTACTTTCTGTCGTTGCGCGCTCCTTTTGTGTGAGCTCTCTCTCTCTCTCTCTCTCTCTCTCTCTCTCTCTCTCTCTCTCTCTCTCTCTCTCTCTGAGAGGGTGCATGTGTGGGCAAACAGTGTGCGTTGAATTCAGAGTCACACCCTTGCCTCTCCGCGCAGCAGCAGCCGCCGCACGTACTGAGCCCTCCTCTCCCCTCTCCCCTAATTTTCCCCTCGACCTCCCTCTCCTTCCACTCCTCCTCCTCCACCTCGTCCACCTCCTCTTCGTCCTCCCCCCTCCTCCTTTCCTCCTCCTCCACCTCCTCCACAGTCTTAATGACTTTCCCTCACATTGCAGACGCGTCGCCAGCGTTCGCTGCTGAGCGGCGAAACGTCTCCGGGAGAATGGCGCGGGTATTTGTTTTTCGCGCCACAGAGTTGGTGCGAGTCGCGCAGCAGAGGCAGCTGGGGGGCGGTGCACAAAGTTCGCGTCCTTACGGCAGTATTATGGATGGTCTAAATATGCAAGAGGTAGGGGGTTCTAAATATTATGTGGGTCCTAGATCAGGATGGCCACTCTAGAGTCCTTATTGGGACACCATGGTATTCATACCGCGGGGTGCAAAATATCATGGGGCTCTTATCGACTTCAATGAGCACTAGGCTGCGGGACAGACTATAATATTTGGACCCCCTTCCCTAAATACTCATGGTTTGCACAAAGGAGGTTTAATTTTCCTGCACACAACACTTTATGTAGGTGGAAATTTTTGAAGAATAGTTTCTTTTAGAAATAAATCACTTAATTAATTATTCTTTTTGAGAGTTTTAATTTTTCCCCAATATTTTCTGGGAAAGTTTCGAATTTATCCGAGAAAATTTCGGGCTTTTAAAATCCCTATTTGCGTACATTCCTCCATCCCCCATCCCCCAGCATATGTGTGTGAGGAGTCGTCGTTCGTCGCCGCTCAGTTGGCAGCGCTGCAGGGCTCTGAATGCCTCGCGAATTTATGGTGGCAGAGCGGAGGCGGTTGGCGGCACTGACGCGGTTTGTTGTGTAATGAATGTTGTGCACGTCGGCGGGATTCTGAAGCGCGTGGAGGTGGTGCGTGTGTGTGAGAGAGAGAAAGAGAGGGAGAGAGAAAGAGAGAGAGAGAGAGAGAGAGAGAGAGAGAGAGAGAGAGAAAAGGAAAGGGGGAGGGGGGGGGGTTGAGGGATGCGAATGCGCGAGTGCGGTTTTGCAGGGGTGGGCAACTGTTTGGGGTTTTATCCCTCTTGCCCGCGCCTCACCTCAAACCACCCGGCTTTGTGGCTTTGTGGCTTCAAATGTTTTTGTTTTTGTGTATGGTTTTTTTCTTCTTGTGGTGCAGCGGCGCATTCAACAGTGGCCAGAGCGTTTCAAAAACATGCATGCGTGTGTGGTTTCCGTAGAGCAGAGGAGGGTTGTTTGGTGGAATTGAAATAACTTTTCTGTAAGCGAGGAAAGAAATAATTTTCTCCTTGCCGGCAGGAACCTAGTTGGGCTGTATTGGACTTCAAGCCTTGAGCTGTTTGGCGTGCAAAGGCACGACTGAAACGTCACCAAATTTTCTTTTGAACACTCCTTATTTAAAAACACATGTGTTTTTAATTTGGTTAATTTGTCCCTGATAATTTATTTCATTGGTTTACGGTAATATTAAGAAACAGAGTCGCGAACAGAGTGGTATGGTGGAAGCCGTTTTCGTCTTACCCTTGCCAATAAGTTGGAATGACCGCGACTCTCTGTTGCGTTTACTGTTGTTGGTAATGTGCTGACTGGGCGGCCGATCGCCTGTTCCAGTCCTGGTACGACTACAAGCTGCGCTGGGAGCCCAAGGAGTACGGCGGGGTGCAGATGCTCCACGTGCCGTCCGATCACATCTGGAGGCCCGACATCGTGCTGTACAACAAGTAAGTAACAATTTTTTTTACTTTCTCCACACTGTTGTTGAGATGGTGACTTTGCCGGCACAAGAGCCTATAAGTCATGATTGATCTTGTCCAATCACTTTTTCGCTCAAAATAAAATCGGGGGAGGGGGGGGGGAGGCAGGTGTTCAATGTCTCTCTAGGTCTGGTTATTGTTGCGTCACTTAACAACTCGCACTCCAAGAAACTTCAGCTTCTCCAGAGTCTTCAGCTTCTCCAGAGGCTCTCTAGCTTCTCCATAGAGGCTCCAGCTTCTCCAGAGGCTCCAGCTTCTCCAAAGGCTCTCTAGTTTCTCCAGAGGCTCCAGCTTCTCCAGAGGCTCCAGCTTCTCCAAAGGCTCTCTAGTTTCTCCAGAGGCTCCAGCTTCTCCAGAGGCTCCAGCTTCTCCAGAGGCTCTAGCTTCTCCAGATGCTTCAGCTTCTCCAGAGGCTCCAGCTTCTCCAGAGGCTCTAGCTTCTCCAGAGGGTCCAGCATCTGCAGTTTCTCCACTTCAGTTTCTCCAGCTTCTCCAGTTCGTCCCATCTTCTCCATCCTCTCCGACGGCTCTCCAGTCGCACAATGGCCATTATATCTAACGGGCGCCGCCGCATCTCACCTCGAGCGAAAAGTGCCGCTGACGGGATAAGTTTAGCGGGGCTGGAGGAACGGCCCGCGTCTGAGACCAAAACGCCGCAATTACTAACTCCACGCGCTCCCCTCTCCCCCTCCCCTCTTTCTCTCTCTGTCCCACACTCCCATGACTTCTACTCCGTGTGTTCGGAGTAGTTCGCACACACACACACACAGACACCCTCATACGCCCTCACACTCACACACACACACACACACACACACACACACACACAGACCTGCACGCTCACCCACTTACGGCCCTCACCTTACCTTACCTTTCCGCCAGGAGTTAGGGGAGGGGAATAGCGGTCGCCTGCTACTTCGATGTCTCTCCCCCCCTCCCCTCCCCCTTCTCCCCCTCTTCTCACTTTCCCTTCTATATTTCCCCGCCCCTCGCCGACCTTACCCCTTGCCTCACCGCACAGTCTCATCCCCTGGGTCTTGCCCGGCGCTCCCCTCAGCCGCTAAATTCGTTGCCGGTTTCCTCCTTCAAGTATAAGAGAAAGGAGGGGGGGGGGGCGGAGGAGTCCCGCTATGGAAAGGCTCTTCCCCGAATTTGCTCTTATTAATTAGGCGATGCCCGACGGGGAGAAAGGGGAGGGGGGGGAGGAGTGGACTAGCGCATCCCGACGCTCGCGCTGCTGGTATACTTTTCCTTTTTTCGCAAAGGGCAGAAAAATAAGTTGGCTGTGCTTCTTGAGCGCGCCGCATCAAGGAAGTGGAGAGAGTGAGTCCGAGGAGGCTGTACACAACTGCTCGATAGTTGTGCACTTGCAAGTGTCCCGAGCAGAATTACACTGTTAAGCCAAGGAAAGTGTGCAAATTGAACTGCAGAAATCGAGCTATGGCACATACTCTCGACCGCGCAGCATTGTATTCGAGTTTAACACTTTAGAGTGTCGAGGTGTTGAGCACCTTATTTGTATTATTACAAGCAAGAACCAACGCATCCCTGCCGCGTGGTCACTCGACGCCGCACCAGCCGCAGTTTTGTGTTTTTTACACTCTCTCGCTCTCTCGCTCCTCTCTTTCGTGCAAAATGCGTCGAGGACCAGCACGACCACTTCTCATTCGCTTGTCTCTCCGACTGGGTGGGTCCCCTGTGCCATTAGCGCGGGACAGCGCGGCTCGCGTCAC